GAAATAGAAGGAGAAAATCCAAGACTTTCTCTTTAAAAAGTAAAAAAATATTCGCAAAACTACCATCGATGGAAAAAATAAAATAAAAAAGATAACACTGTCCAATTATGCTAATTCCGCCACTTATTTCCTTTTCTTTACCAATTTGATTTAACTTCGACCTTTTTTGAGCAGTCTTTTATAAAAATAACATTTCCTCACGTTTCTTCGGGATGGTTTAGGTCCAGGTGGACGGTCCAGCGGCAAAAGTATCAACTGCGATCTCAGAGCCCTGAGGCCGCACGTTGTGTCGTTGCAATGTCAGTGCATTTCTCACATTTCCAAATTTTCAATTATCCTATTCAGCCTGTTTTTCACCTCCCCAGCCTCCGGAGGGTTTCCTGAAGGCTGGGGAGGGTAAAAAATCAGCTGTGAGATGACAGCTGGTGTGCCACTAAATATGGCTCATTGTGCCACACAGTCTCTGCAAGCACATTCCAGGCAGCTGTTGCAAGCTGAGTCCTGCTTTTCCCTTTTTCGACATCCTTGCCACTCCCTTCCAACAACTGTCATGAGGAACTGTTGTTCTGCTGCTGGTCTCATGGGAGCTCTTTGCCCTCCTGGAGGCACTGCTCTCGTCCACCCTGCTGGGCTGCTCCTGCCTATTGCAGGGCAAGTGATATACGACCTCCAAGCACCCACCTACTGCCGGTCTGCCAGAGCCCCTTTGCCAGCAGCCACAGGTGGAACCACGCTGTCTTACCCACCGCCACCTTTGGGTTACTGAGCCCCTTCCTGCAGGTCTACTTGGTGCTGCAGGTGCCGGGCTATGTGTTGAGCCTGGCACTCTTTAGTCCCTGGCCCTGGTGGGTGCTAGTACTCATGCTGGCTGTGCAAGGTGGCATGGGTGGCACAGCTCCACCTGCAGCTCCGGAAGTTATAGATCTGGGATGACTCTACCTGCAGCAGGCAGAAGCAGCTCAGCAGAACAGCCAAAAGCAGTGCTGCCAGGAGGCCAGAAGCAACAAAGGCAGCCACTTGGCAGCCAGTAGCCAAAAATGTCCTGGCAAAAGCAGGGCCAGCAAGCAGGGCAGGTGCAGGCCTTGATGTGCTGAAAAGTTAGGCCATTGCAGCCAAAGGCAAGCAGGTGGTGGGATGGAGAGGGCGGGGCAGGCAGGCACACCACTTCCTGTAGTTGAAAAAAATATCATATTTCCCCAAAAATAATAAGACAGGAACTTATTTTCTTTTAACCCCGCAAAAAAGCACTTGGTCTTATTTTCAGGGAGGTCTTATTATTTTTGAAGTGCAGGAGGCGGAGAACATGGTCACCTCATGGCTGCTGTGTGTTGCAATATTTTCGGGAAGGGCTTATTTTACCTCATGCGCTCAAAATCCTGATTGGGCTTATTATTCGGGGAAGTCTTATTTTCAGGGAAACAGGGGAAGACATCTCTGAAAATTACCCTGAGTGTTTATTTCGAGGCCTAAGAAAATATAAGACCGGGTCTTATTTTCAGATAAACATAGTAATTAGCTCAAGTGTTTTGTTTTTAAGATACTAGTCCTAAAAAGAATCTCCAACCAAACGTAGAGGGCAAAATGGCGGAAGACACTATTTGTAGTTCTCGACTAACAACAGTTTTAGTTTTTAGTGACTGTTCAAAGTTGCACAGCAGAAAAAAAAGTGATTTGGCCATTTTTCACTCTTAAGACTGTACTACCTATACTATCTACAGCCTCTGATTTACTGAGGCAAATGGAAAAATAGAAATCTAGTCAATGAATGTTCTTCTCTTACCTGACTTGGAGGTTCAATCCTAGTTTCTGCTCCCCCAAAACAAAGAGTCGACTTCCTTCTATTCTTCCCTGTGAGGGAGACAGAATTTCAAAAGGGATAATTAATAAAATGGGAGAAGGTACGCTATAGAGGAGAGGACACAAAGAAGATGAGAAAGTTAGGATTTATCAAAGGAGTGGAAGGACCTTATATTACCTCCTGAGGTGTCCTGAATTGGATCTTCCTGAGGGATCCCCCTGAAAGACAGTTCTTGAGGGAGATTTGACAGATGCCTCTTTGTCTCAGGATCTCTGATCTCCATTGCAAAGGACTTGTAACAGAAGAAAAGAATTAATGGACATCAAACATCATGAAGTGGTATGTACCTCTATTTAATACATGATAAACTGCCAAAGATTTTTCAAATCTCAAAGGAATTTCAAATACACGTTTGAAATGTAAATGTAAAAAAGGAACTTTTTACCATCTCTGCTAGACTTGTGACAAAGCATAGAAATACTGGGGTAAGATTTATATTTTACCGTAGAAGATTCTCAAACTTGGTATAAAAATCAAACAAGAGACTTATGTTTTAAATTCAATAGGCAAAGAGATTGAAAAACAATCTTGAAGTTTGCTGTTATATCTGTTGAGAGCAGCAAGACAAATGGAAGGATACTTTAATTGCCACAATGGAGAAGTTGTTGGAAAAACTGATGGGAACTAGCAGAGATGGAAAAATTCACTGCTTTAGTTAAAGAAATTCTTTCTACCTGGAAACCATTCCTGGATTTTATTCTTGAGATGGAAAAAAAAAGGAAACTTTGACTGAGCTGAAACAGCTGAAACACTCGTCTTTTGCAGTACCCTTCAAATTTGGATACTGTCCTATTTGTAAACAAATTACTAGTCTATATAGACAGATTACCTACACGGAGTCTCTAATCCAGGGATGACAAACTTGATTTCACTGAATGAGGGCCAGGGGGGGCGTGGCCTGGCGATGTGGCCACGGTGGGCAGAGTGCGGCTGGAGGCCAAGAACGGGCCACATGGGGCCTCTGCACAGCCATCTTTGGCTGGCAGAGGGCTGTTGGAGTCCGGGGGAAGCCAAAAATGGGCCATTTTGGCTCAGAGTGGTTTTTTGCCAGCAGAGGTGAGGGATCAGATGATGGAATCTATGTACAAATGAAGCCTTTGGAATCAGAGGAGATAGGACCCAGGTATGAATGGAATGGACTGCACATTAACACATGTGGCTGCACATTAACAGCGAGACAGAAGTTAGCACCTTAAAACCA